CCCCAAAACCCCAAAACCCCAAAACCCCTTTTCAGGCTAAATTATTTAAATTTTAAAGGAAAATCCCTAAAATTCCAATGGAAATATTTAAGACTAAAAAGTACATTCCGTTCGTGCCTCTGTTCTACAAGCGGTACGACAGAGGTATCCCTTTTATATTCATGAATCTGATGATGGTCTATATGGTCTTGTGGTAGTACCGGTAAGTAGGGGTTTAGGATACCTTTTGATACTTATTGATGAGTATAAGCAATAATATTGAAAATTAAGAGATTTAGAGTCCTAACTATACTTCATAGTGCTATTACCAAAATTTGAACAAGAGTATCCAACCTCTTTTATTACACGTAGCTGGTTCTGGAAGATCTTCCTTGGAATTTGGTTCCAGACATTGACTTTGATATGACTTTGGAAAGTCTCTTTCACAGGTAAGATTCAACAATGATGACCTAGACCCAGGAAGTATCCCCCAAGAGTATAATCATCCTCTTCGGAACAACAAAAGAGCAAGTTTAGAAGAGATCCTCTTGGAATTCCCTCAGATTAGCGAAGGTATGCCTTAAAGCCTTTTTCCCATCCTAAAATCTCGCAAGCTCAATTCTTTTTACAGCAGTTGATAAGGAGCTTGACCGCATCGACCTAGAAAATTGTCACAAATACGATTCCTCTTCAGAAGAGAATTGTTCAGACTCCTTAGTGAGAGATAACCCAGAAGCCAAGCGTGAGAAAATAATCAGAGATATTAAAGATATCTATGGATACAAGTACTGAAATATCTGAAAACGAGGTAAATTAACAAATATTTTAAGCAAGGTGATCATGGATGTCTAGATAAACCTCCAAGAGCCCACCACTGAAGACTTTGAGGCCACTGAAGCCTGAACTTTGACCACCACTGACCGATAATTGGATCATGTATTGGGAAGTACAACAGGAGATATTTCTTCCAAATGAGCCTTTATTGCTTAATAAGCTGAATCTGATGTATGACTATGATCTTATTCACTGATTTATCCTTAATACAGACCGTAGCAGGCCTTTGGTGAGGCTTCTGTTTGATATTCTCAGGCCTCAGTGTCTTCAGCCAACTGTACTTAATGAGCTACAATATGACCACTATTGAGTACTTGAAGAAGTACAATTGGGTTCTGTTTAAGCAGACTAAGAGCCTTTGCTACAATATTGGGATTGGCATGGAGACGCACTTGAAAATATCCTGGTTTGTCCCTATCTAGCACAGCTTGATGAGTTCTGCACAACCTAAGGCTCTCATTATTTTCAACAAATTTACATTTGATTGGGGTTTTGGGGTTTTGGGGTTTTGGGGTTTTGGGGTTTTGGGGTTTTGGGG